TTCATGCACAAGGAAGGTTTCCAAAAGTGCAACACCGACCACTGTTGCTACTTCAAAAGATATAAGTCCAGTTATATCATCCTACTATTGTATGTTGATGATATATTGATTGCAGGTGCAGATATGAAGGATATCAAGAGTTTGAAGCAGCAGCTGTCAAAGGAGTTTGACATGAAGGACTTGGGTCCAGCGAAAAAGATCCTTGGAATGCAAATCACGAGAGATAAGAAGAGAGGTCTCTTGTAATTATCTCAGACGGAGTACATCAATCGTGTTTTGCAAAGATTCAACATGGGCGACGCCAAGCCAGTGAGCACACCCTTGGCCAGCCATTTTTGTCTATCGAAGGATCAGTCTCCTCAGTCAGAAAAAGAGAAAGAGAGTATGGCTAAGGTTCCTTACATCTCAGCTATTGGAAGTTTGATGTACGCAATGGTCTGTACGAGACCAGACATTGGCCATGCAGTGGGAGTGGTCAGCCGGTTTATGTCGAATCTAGGAAAAGCTCATTGGGAAGTGGTCAAGTAGATTCTGAGGTATCTACGAGGCACCATACAGAAGTGTTTACACTTTGGTAAGGGAGAGGTAGAAGTGCAAGGGTACGTAGATGCAGACTTTGGAGGTGAAGTCGATCACCGAAGAAGCACCACCGGCTACGTATTCACTGTCAGAACTACAACTATTAGTTGGATGTCACAGATACAGAAGATTGTCACTCTGTTCACTACAGAAACTAAGTATGTTACAGTGACTGAAACCAGTAAAGAGATGATATGGCTTCAGGGTTTGTTAATGGAGATAGGATTCAAACAGGAGAAGAATGTTTTGCATAACGGTAGTCAGAGTGCGATTCACTTGGCTAAGAATTTCGCATTTCATTCTAGAACGAAGCATATTGCACTTCGGTACCACTTCATCAGATCCATGTTGGAAGATGACGTGTTGAAACTGGAGAAGATTCACGGAAGTAAGAATCCAGCAGACATGTTAACAAAGGCGGCGACCGTTCAAAAACTAGAGTTGTGCGTAATTTCAGTTGGTCTTCATGCATAGGTGATGAGGGCAGAGCCACACAGGAGATGATACTTGTTGAGATAGCCTGCTAACGGCGGTTTGGACTCCAAGTGGGAGATTGTTGGATTTGGGTGAAGCCCAGACCTCGAGGAGCTCCAGCGAACTCGTGGTAAGGCGACTCCTTGCGGGCGAGGTCGATGGCGAGCTCGAGGTGGACTTCAGGCGAGCTTCTTGAGCACGGGCGAGCTTCGGTCAGGTGAGGTCGCTCAAGGTGAGTTCTTGAGCGCTACAGATGAGTTGACGAGATCAGGCGAGATCTTTACAGGTGAGGAAAAGCTGCAGGTGAGGTTGAAGCCTCCTCACAGGCGAGCTCGAGGACAGCTCACGACAGGCTGTCGTTAGCTGGCTAGGGTTTTCCTATAAAAGGGAAACCCCAAGCCCAAGATGATATGCTCTCTCTCTCTCTCTCTCTCTCTCTCTCTCTCTCTCTCTCTCTCTCTCTCTCGATTTTGAAAGAGAAATCAGAAGAATGGAATTAAAGAGGGGTGAAAGAAATTAAAGAGGGTATTAAAGAAGAGAGGAATCTTCACTGTAGCTACAGTAAAGATTGTATTTATTAAGAGATCTCACTTTGAGATCTGCTCTGTTTTGTAATTTCTTGTTGAAATTAATAAGAAATTAACTGTGTGGCTCCCGTAGACCGTTGTCGAACCTCGTAAATCTTGGTGTACCTTTTTTATTCTGTGTTTTTGCTGTTTTTAGGGGTGTTGAGTAGCCCCGGCGAGTAAATTCCCAACAAAGAACACGCCGACTCTCCAAAATCAAAAAAATTAGAACATGAACATGCAGAAATCACACGAGATAGACCCACTGGATTTGGTTGTGTTAGGAAACTATGCAAATTCCTCTTTTACCAGATTTATGAGAAAGAGAAATAAATGCGCAAATAAGAGGACACACAAATTTAACGTGGTTCGGCATAAAATTGCCTACGTCCACGGGCTACCGCAGATCTTTCGTTAAGGAGAGAAAAATTTACAATCACTCTTACAAATACTCACAACCCAAATTTCACTCTAAAAAATTGCTCTCAATTTTTCTCACTGAGTGCTCTCTCTCCCTCGGGTTTTTTTTCTCACCGAGTACTTTTCTCTCAGCCTCTCTTTTTCTCTCGAGCTTCTCTTTCTCTCTTACTTAAGAAGATTCAGAAGTTGATTTGATTATGGGTTAAGGTAAGAGGGGTGGGGGTTTTATAGCCTAAGTACTTCTTTTTTCTTCCTGTCATTTGACAAAGACATCGTCCTTTCCTTCCCTCTTTCCAAAAAAACAGCCACCAAAAACAAATCACTGAAAGTTTCCCTTCCTTTTTGACTAACAATCTCATACTTGAAGACTGATTTCAATCTGTCTTCACATCTCGATCTATGTAGCAGCTCTTCCCCGGTCTTGATACTATTACAGGCCAACTAAAGCTGAAAACGGCTTTAGTTTGTCAGTAGTCACCTTTTTTGTCAGCATGTCTACTAGATTTTGAGCTCCACTGATCTTTTCAAGTTTTAAAATTCCATCTTTCAGAAGTGACCGGATAAAATGATACCGCATTTGTATGTGCTTCATTCTAGAATGAAAAGACGGATTCTTCGCTAGATGAATAGCACTTTGACTTTCGCAATATAAGACATTGACTTCTTGTTTCTTGCCTAACTCATCTAAGAAACTTTAAAGTCAAACCATTTCCTTGATGGCTTATATAACAACAACATATTCTACTTCAGTTGTGGAGAGAGCAACTATCTTCTGCAGTTGAGAAACCCAACTCATCGCAGTACCTCCTAGAGTATAGACATACCATGTAGTGTTCTTTCTGACATCATCATTTCCTGCTAAATCAGCATCCACATAACCTGTTAGTATTGTATCTCCACCTTTGAAATAAAATGCTTTACCTGTGGTGCCCTGTAGATATCTAAGGATCCATTTGACTACTTCCCAGTGTACCTTGTCCGGATCATTCATGTACCTGCTAACAGCTCTCACTGCTTGAGAAATATATGGTCTTGTACAAACTATGGCATACATCAGACTTTCAATTGTTGAAGCGTATGGGACTTTCCGGTGACTGATCTTTGGAAAGTCTGAAATGAACACCTAAAGGTGTACCCACTGGTTTTGCATCTTGCATGTTGAACCTGGAGAGTACTTTGTTGATGTACTCAGCCTGTGATAACATCAAAGTCCTAGACTTCGTGTCTCTCTTGATCCTCATTCCAAGAATCTGCTTTGCAGCGCCAAGATCTTTCATTGCGAACTGCTTTGATAATTTTTGCTTCAAATTTATAATCTCTTGCAGATCTAAACCTGCAACGAGCATGTCATCAACGTATAACAATAAAATAATGAAGCTATTATCAAACCTCTTGAGATAACAACAATGATCTGCTTGGCATCTAGTGAAACCGTTGTTGTCCATAAATTTGTCAAACTTTTTGTACTACTGTCTGGGAGCTTATTTTGATCCATACAAGCTCTTCTTCAAATGGCATACTAGATTTTCCTTGCCTGTCTTTATGAAGCCTTCTGGTTGCTTCATATAGATCTCCTCCTCCAAATCACCATGAAAGAAAGCTATTTTTACATCTAACTGCTTAAGATGTAAATTCTCAGCAACTATAATTTTCAATACCAGTCTGATTATAGTCAATTTCACGAACGGAGAGAAAATTTCATTGTAGTCAATACTTTTTTTTTGCTGAAAGCCTTTGACAAACAATCTTACCTTGTAGCGCTTGTTCCCATCATGCTCTTCTTTGATCCTGTAAATCCACTTGTTATGAAGAGCTTTCTTAGCGCTTGTTCCCATCATGCTCTTCTTTGATCCTGTAAATCCACTTGTTATGAAGAGCTTTCTTACCTGGTGGTAATTCAGCTAAGTCCATCTTCTTTGATCCTGTAAATCCACTTGTTATGAAGAGCTTTCTTACCTGGTGGTAATTCAGCTAAGTCCAACGTTTGATTTGACATATGCGAGTACATCTCATCTTGCATAGCAAACTCCCACTTGACTGAATCCTCCACCTGCATTGCTTTATCATATCACTCAGGTTCACCACTGTCAGTCAGCAACAAGTAGTGCAAAGAAGGCGAATAACACTGGGTTGGCTTAGGAATTCTGGAGGAGCATCTCACTTCTGACGTGCTTGGTTCTTCTTGAACTACTTCAGGACTAGTCTGAACATCATTTTCAGAAATCGCCTCAAATTTAGCAAATTCCTTTGTTTTAGCTTTTGTACTGGAGCTACTTGATTCTGCAGTTGATTTATCTTTGTACATCACATTCTCATTGAATATGACATCTCTGCTTCTGATGATCTTTCGATTTTCATAATCCCAAAATCGGTAACCAAACTCATCACCACCATAACCAACAAAAACAAATTTGTTAGATTTTGCATCAAGTTTACTTTTTTCAGCAGAATCTATGTGTACATAAGAGATACAACCAAAATTTCTTAAATACAAAAGGTTTACCTCTTTTCTGCTCCAAGCTTCTTCCGGTATTCTATCATCCAAGGGAACTGAGGGCCCGTGATTGATAAGGTAGGTTGTGGTATTGATAGCTTTAGCACATAGGAACTTGGGTAAGCCGGCATGTATCCTCATGCTTCTAGCATGTTTATTCAAAGTTATGTTCATGCGCTCCGCTACACCATTCTGCTGTGGTGTCATGGGAATTGTTTTTTTCATCCTGATCCCGTTGTTTGTGTAAAATTCTTTGAATCTACTGTCTTTGTACTCTCCTCCATTCTCTGACCTCAACCTCTTTATCTTCAAATCAGTTTCATTTTCCACCATGACCTTCTATTTTCTGAAGGTATCAAAGACTTCTGGTTTCTTCTTCAGAAAATAGACCCAAACCTTCCTTGTAGAATCATCAATGAATGTGACATAGTACAGTGAGCCTGCAAGGGATGGAACTAGAGATGGCCTCATACGTCAGTATGAACCAATTCTAACTTTTCTGTCTTGGGTGTCTTGCTAATCTTTATAAAACTGACTTTCTTTTGTTTGTCAAAAATGCAATCCTCGCATAGGCCGACATCTACATTCTTCAAATCCGACAGCTTCCCTTTTGACAAAAGTGTCTTCATCCCTTTCTCGCTCATATGGCCAAGGCTTTGGTGCCATAGGTTTGATTTTTTATCTGCATCTGTTACTACAATAATATTCTCTAAGTTAGAAGTTAATAGAGAGTATCACTTTTCTTGCCTCGAGCAATGACGAGTACTCTTTTGGTAATCTTCCATTTATAATCTGATAAGGTTGTACAATAACCCTCTCCATCAAGTTGTCCCACATAGATCAAATTCTTTTTAAGGCCAGAAATATGCCTCACTCCTTGCAACTTACATGTGGTCTGATTTGGCAATTTTAATCTGATATCTCCCTTGCTAATGATCTTCAAGGTTTCATCATCTGCTAGATGTACCTTTCCAAAATCACCGCTGACATAATTCTCCATGATTTCTTAACATGAGGTGGAATGGAAGGATGCCCATGAATCAAGAATCCATGATTCAATCAGACTATTGACGCTTAGAATCATAGCATCACCTCCTTCCTCGGTCACATTGGCAAACTCTTGTGCGCCAATATTTTTCTTCGGTGTCCGACACTCCCTCTTGAAATGACCCTTCTTGTCATAATTGTAGCACTTAAAATCTTTCTTTCTCGATCTAGATTTGCTCCTTCTAGATTTTGATCTTCCATGATTTGAACTTTTTTCTAAAGTTCTTCTCCTAGACTCCGTGTGTAAAGCTGAGGAGGTTAAAGCTTCACCCGATTCTCTCTGTCGAATTTCTTCACTGAGAACCAGATCACGAACATCATCAAATTTCAACTTGTTGCTTCTGACGAGCTACTCACAGCTGTGACAGTAGCATTCCAACTTTCTAGTAGGGAAGACAAAAGTATCAATACTCGTACTTCTTCATCAAATTCAATCCCAACTGAACTCAATTGGGTTGTGACTATGTTAAGTTCATTGAGATGTTGAGCTACCGATGTGCCTTTTGTCATTCGCAAATTGAACAGCCGCCTCATCAAGTGAACTTTGTATGAGGCGGAGGGCTTCTCATACATGCTGCAGAGAGCCGCCATAAGACCCGCCGTGGTCTTTTCCTTTGCTATGTTAAAAGCAACATTGCGAGATAACGTCAATCGGATAACTCCAAATGCTTGTCTGTCGAGGAGAGCCCACTCTTTATCCTTCATGTAATCAGGCTTTTTTCCTAAGAGAGGTTGATACAACTTCTTCTGGTACAAATAATCTTCTATCTGCATCTTCCAAAAGCCGAAGGTTGCACCATCGAACTTCTCAATTTTCACCTTCTCTTCGTTTGCAGCATTCGGTCCCACTCGAATTTGACTTCCTCTGGATTGTTTCTGACAATTTTTGCGAACCACTGTGTATTAAAACACCTTTGCCGACAAGTTGGTACCGCCGACAAAATTTCACTATTCACAAAATTCAATATTCACGTGAATAGTAATCTCGTAGAAAAATTAACAGACGTCACAACCAGAGCTCTGATACCAGTTGTTGGGAAACTACGCAAATTCCCCTTTTACCAGATTTATGAGAAAGCAAAATAAATGCGCAAATAAGAGGACACGTAAATTTAACGTGGTTCGGCACAAAATTGCCTATGTCCACGGACTGTTGCAGATCTTTTACTGAAGGGAGAAAAATTTACAATCACTCTCACAAATACTCACAACTCAAATTTCACTCTGAAAATTTACTCTCAATTTTTCTCACTGAGTGCTCTCTCTCAGTTTTTTTTTTACCGAGTACTTTTCTCTCAGCCTCTCTTTTTCTCTCGAGCTTCTCTTTCTCTCTTACTTAAGAAGATTCAGATTAAGGAAGAGGGGTGGGGGTTTTATAGCCTAAGTACTCCTTTTTTTCTTCCTGTCATTTGACAAAGGCATCGTCCTTTCCTTCCCTCTTTCAAAAAAAAGGGACACCGAAAGCCAATCACCGAAAGCTTCCCTCCCTTTTTGACTAACTGGTTGAACATCTGAACAACACATTTCAGGATAACAGAGTGCTGATTTGATCGGGGAATCGTTATAAAAACATCAGATTGTTAGGCAATTTTCGCTCATATGTGGAGAGGAAATTGATTTCTATAAAATACCACTCTTTTCACTACTTTATAGGAAACATTTCTATAATTTTTGACTGAATCAAATAGAGTTTAAAGACACCTCCAGAAAATTATTATTTATGAAAATGTCATTGTCATGCATTTTCCTAAAACTTTCCTATAAAACAAGTGAACCAAACAACCCCTAAAGATCACAACACGATGGACCCTCTTCATGAGCTTAAACCGAGATTCACTAGTTAGAATTGTCTCTTGGGTATTCTGGTACCATGTCAAAAGGACTCTCCCACTATACCAAAATTATAAAATTATACCAATAGGCTTGAGAGTTATAATTTTATACCAGTAACAGTTTTTTGTTGGGTAAGAGGAAACCTTGGCTGGCGCAGTCCGCTCCCTGCGGGACGAGGCCAAGCACTGGGCTAGCCAAGGTTTCCTCTTACCCAAAAGCATCCCAGATCCATGTAAGTAGGACGCTTAAGGGACACGGGTGACAGGGTGTGGCCATAGTGTCAAAGCCACATTTAAACACCACTGTTGAGGGGGCCCGAACTCGGGCCCTCCCCTGGCAATGGGATGTCCCTGCCATCTGTTGGCTACATCTTGGGACATCAAACCTCAAAGGTATGCGGCAACCCCCATTTTAGTCCTAACAACAGCACTGAAAGTAGATTACGCGTTCGAATTTCTCCTAGAACATAAAAGTTCAATTTCAATCATGGAAAAGTAGACATACTGGAATTTTATAGTAAGGGGCTGTTCGTTTGGCCATTTTTTTTGGGAAATCAAAGAATAGGAAACCTATTTCCTATAATATTTGTTTTGAGGTTGTTTGGTTGGTTTAAAAAAGAAAGAAATTGTAGAATAGGAGATAAGATGAGATGAGTTGTCAACTTATTATTGGATGATGTGAGTGATTTTAAAAAAAAATTGTTTTGAGGTTGTTTGGTTGGTTAAAAAAAATAAGGAAATGAATTGGAGGTATATTATTGGATGATGTTTTGAGGTTGTTTGTGTTTGGTTCGTTTTTAAAAATAGGAAAATAGATGAGATGAGATGAGTTGGAGGTATATTATTGGATGATGTGACACATACTTAAGGAAACCAATTTCTTGTTTTTTTTTGAGGAAATGGATGGAAAGGAATGTTTAATGAGATGAGATGAGTTGTCACAATATTATTGGATGATGTGTGTGATTTTTAAAAATGGGATAAGATAAGTTGTGATGAGTTGGATGATGTGACACATTTCTTGTGTTTGGTTTATTTTTAAATGTAAGAAAGGAGATGAAATGAGATGAGTTGGAAGATAAAAATAATATTTTATTAGATGTTGTGGGTGAGTTTTAGGGATGGAAATGGGTAAAAATATTATTTTATTGATTTCCTTGTACCGATTTCCTTTTCTTGATTTTTAGGAAACCAACCAAACGGGCCCTAACCCTCCTATTTTTACTTTCCCTCTTCCCACCTGATTCAAGCATTCAAGGTCCAGATGAAAACCACAGTTACTTTATCCATTTATTTTTCTCGTAGCAGACCAGCTGCTCAAGATACCGCTGTCAACATTTGAAACCTTTAGAGCTAGCACCCAGTAGCTGATGAAAACAATACTTTTTCTCCATGCTACTGATAGAATGACACCATTTCAATACCCTGCTTGGCAAAATGGGATGCTTCTCAGTTTTCTCATATCAAACTCCACATATGAGTAGTGAGGAGAAACTACAGCGAGAGTTCCTCAACTGTTTGACATGATATGTTCACAGTTCACATCCCCCACCTACACATCCTGTATATCGTTATAAACAAGTTACATCTTATTGACCCAAGAAACTCAAAACACAGACCCATCTTATATATTGTTATAAACAAGTTACTCCTCATTAACCCAAGAAACTAAAACATGATAGTCTCAAGAAAACAACAGGATGCCAGATTCAGAATCCACAAATGGAAGGGAAAATAAAAAGTTCAATTTTCCAAGTTATTTTTTACTCCTCTACCTAATTTTGCCCCTAAACTTCAATTTACATTCACAAGAGATGGGGAACTGTTAAAACCTTCCCCAACAACTCAGCATGCTCTTCAGACCAAGTGCTTCATGAAGCCTCCGGTGTTATGCACTTGAGCTTTGTAACTTCTCGACCTCCTCTTCAGGGTAAATGTAGATCTTCCGTGCTGATAAGAGGAAATCCCTGGATTTTTCAGTAGACGACGGATTAGACAGGTAAAGCTGGCGATATATCAAAAACAGAGTGTTTTTCATGTGCTTAATGTGGAAAAGAATTAGGAGAAGTACTGTGGATAGACCCCTTTGTCCTATCACCCAATTGCAGATAGACCCGACTAGTAGATAGACCATCTGAGCGAATTTTTTGACTCTTTTACCCTCAAGAGATCTCAAATTTCTTTTTCTCTGAGGGTAAAAGTGTGAGGGAAAAAAATGTTTCACTCCAGGGTCAATCTGCAACAATACAACTATAGGGGTTATATTCGCAATCAGATGACAGTACTGGGGGTCTTCCGCAATTAACCCTAGATTTTAAATAAAAAGTGGTATCAATTCCTACAAGTTTTTATGTCGGGTAGGTTCTTGACTTCTGTTTAAGGCACACTATTAGATGGTGGAGATTTGTGGATGCTGATAGACATGATGAAACTACTTATGACAAGTTTATATTGATGATGGGCAGTGCTCTAAATTGATAGCCCATGATTCTGTGGATGATAGTCCATGGTCACATTGTTTTCGATCTCTGTTGAAATTCCTAACTAACAATGTGCTCATCGATGCTCAATATTGGGTAGTTATATCGGGTAGTCCAAGCGCTGAGGTGCTAATAGTGATGCCTTTCCTAAGGAAAGGTTGGCAAAGGCTCAAGTTTGCTTCTTTCCCCTTTATAGTTATGCTTGCGGACGTTGGAGAACTACATATGATTATTATATATAATAATATAATTGAATAAACCTTGTGATATGACCATATGAGAGATTTATGTGCAGTTACAAGTACTTCCGCTTAATACACACTATGGGATCATATCTTTAATCAACTTCTAAGTCTTGATATGAGGTAATGTTTGGTTTGGAACTCCTTCAGAGTCGTTGAAAGATTAATCAAGTGAAAATATATGCATTTACTAAGTGAAAAACTTAAGATACTTACGACCATGAAAAATCCCCAACGATCCTGATGTCTCCTTCAGCATCGGTGTAAATGACCTTCCAACCCTTGCTACTGTCCACCAAACCTCCATGAAACTCGAACATCTTATCAAGCTCGTCAATAAGTTCCCTGTAGCCATTAAACTTCGAAAGGTCAACTGACCTCCCAAGTGCAGTTTCCATTTTGTGAACCTAAATCAACCATAAACAAATAAATAACCATTAAAACTGTTTGGAGTGTAAAAATAATCCTCAACAGAACTCCAGAGTTTTGGTATGGTGGAAGAAAATTTAAAATGGCATCAGAGTAATTCAGATTCAAATCCTACCGGCTGTGCATTAAATTGCATTTACCAAAAAACAGGGGGAAATGCACATAACTCCCATTGTCTATGTCTTGAGTTGCACTAAATCCCCTCAACTCATTGTCGAGCACGTAGCATCTTTGAAATTTCATATTTAGAAAGATAAATTGCAAATAACACCCCTCTTTCTCATGAATTGAGGGGTTTATTAGTGCAACTCAAGGTATCAATGGGAGGTTATGCGCAATTTGCCCAAGAAAAATATATTGTAGAGTAGGTCCAAGTTTTGGCCGACAACTCCAGAGTTTTGGCATAGTAAGAAGAACTTTAAAATAAACATTTACCGAGACGTCTGATATTCACTTCAAAATCATAACATACCTTGATGCAGCTACGAGTAACGATAGTGTCAGTGGAGGTCGATTGCCCACTGGCACTTACAGAACCCCCGGATTCACAACGACTTGCACTCATTGTTTTCTCAGTTAATGGTTTCTGAATTTCACCAGAAGTGGCTGAATGAGGTAAAATTGAGCACACTGAATTTGCTGGAATACTGACACCAAAGAGCTTAAATGCTTTGTTTTCTTGGTGAAGCTCATGCTGACGAGAGCAAGACGGGCCCTCTGTACCTTTCTGGTTCTGTTCATGGAAGCGCATATGTGCATTCCCTGTTTCATTAGAGTCAACATGAAAGCTTAGACCTCGAGCTATCTTTTCTTGACCTTGTAAGACATCATCATGTCGAGCAGCAAGCTCGGTAGAAAGCATCAAAGAGCCTGGACAAGCAGAATAGTATGCTCCATCTCAATGGAAAAAAGATAATTAATGGGGAAAGAACGGCTAAGAGAACTTGGTTTGGAAGCAATCAAGAAGGATATGCGAAAAATAAACTAAGTGGTGGAGATAGTTGTCAAATGGAAGAATAGGATTCATGCAACTGACCCTAAGAATTGGGGATGAAGGCTTTGTTGTTGTTGTTTATCTCACTAAAGAAAGGCCGTTCTCCAAACAATTATTAAATGGTTTAGTACGTCATTCCCCAGTGTCCAAATATTGAACCAGTAGATAAATTCAAAACTTAAGGCGCTGTAATTTGAGCATCAGGTGTTTTACTTTATAGGGTTTGTATTTAATAAAGTGAAAACTAAGCTACAAGTAATGATTAAAGCCTCGAGAATAATGTAGAGGGATAACCAATAATCAAAATGACAATCATTTCAACTAACCATCTCTTTGGGAAGAAGACGATTCAGATCGAGATGGCAAATGAGCAGCACGCTGTCTCTTGGGGCGTGATGTAGATGAAGAACTGCCCGTTGCAGCTGAAAATGGCATTATTTCCCATGGCGAAACCCTCTCTGGTTGTACACCGGTAGCCTTGTCAGCCCTTTCAGCCCATTGCACCTGGTTAAGAGAGGTGAAAATTTATGAAGATGATGTTCTTGATAAAGGGAAAGGTTTTCTGTCATATTAGACCTTCAAATCTTTGTTAATTCTATATCGGCCCACCAAATCTTCATAATTCTAAATTAGACCCCAAAATCCATTAAGCCATTCTTAATAAGACCCCTGAATTTGTTAAGTTGTTTTAAATAAGACCCTCATTTCAAACAAATATGACGATCTGGGGGTCTAATATAGAATTAACAAAGATTGGGGGTCCAATGTGACTAAAACCCTAAAGGGAAAAGAACATATGTAATCATTTGGAAGACACCCTACATAACATGAAAGTGGAACTTAGGCTCACTCACCTTGAGACACTTCCATTTTGAATCAGGCCATGTTGCTGGCTCCCTGTCTTCAACGCTGATAATGACACCTGCATATCTGAAGTGCAAAATAAAAGTCACAAAAGAAGTGACTATTGAGAGCCATAGCAGTTACAAAGATCAAAAGTTATGCACCGTTCTTCTTGACCATCTCGTCCTTCAACTTTCATTCTGAATTTTGTTCCAACTAAATAATCTATCTTCATGGATTCCATATACCGATCATAAGAAACGATAAATTCTGAAGGACTTGTCCTGATTCACATAAAATGTAGTTTAGATTCAGAAATTAAGTCAAAACTCTAACAACAATGAAGTATTTCTATCTAATCTTGAAATTTTTCTTCCAAGACTTAAATGTACTATGACAAACTTATTTTGAGCTAAAAACTTTACTAAAAGAATATATCAATCACTAGAAGAAAAAATGAGACATTTGTAATGTTAATCTTTTACCTAGGCCGATAATAGACACTGAACATGGTCCCAGTGTTGATAGCATGTCTAGCAGATGCAAGGACACCAATCTGCATGCTATGTGCTGATATGACTGATAAAGATGCAAGGCTTTGTCGCTTCAGTGCACGACGAACTCCAACACGTAGTTCCCCGTTCTCACCTCTGCACAAAGCATAAATGTCATTCAGAAGATATTATGAAGGGATAATTTCAG